CTTCTCCTCGTCCTCCTCCTCGTCCTCCTCCTCCTCCTTGTCCTCCTCCTCCTCCTCTTCCTCCTCCTTTTCCTCCTCCTCCTCCTCCTCCTTCTCCTGCTCCTCCTTCCCCTCCCCATCCTCTTCCTCCTCCTCCTCCTCCTCCTCCTCCTCCTCCTCCTCCTCCTCCTTGTTCTCCTCCTTCTCCTCCTCCTCGCTCCACCGCCCACCCCATGTCCCGAGCATGTGGCAGGGTCATCGGCTCGTCGTTGTCGGTGTCGTCGTGGTCGTGGTCGTCGTGGTCGTCGTGGTCGTAGTCGTGGTCGTACTCGTGGTCGTCCTCGTCATCGTGGTGGTCGTCGTCGTGGGTCGTCGTCGTCGTCGTCCTTCTGGGGCGGCGGCGCCGGCCGTAAGACCTTCACAATCAGGAGCGATCCGCAAGGAACGTCGCCCGGTGTTGCGCCCCAGGAGCGCCCGCGCGCACGCTGTAATGCTCATGCCGCGGCCTCGTTCTTCTCGGCGGCGAGCCCGGGGGGTAAGTGAGAGGGGGTGGGCTCGGAAGGCTCGGAGGTCCCCTGGCCTCCTGAGAAGTGTCTGGGTCCTTCCCCGAAGACGCAGAACATTGTTTCCATGTTCTGGGGCCAGACCATGTTTGTACCGCAGGCTACGACGGGCCTGTGGACGAGGCGTTGGTATCCTTTGCTGCCGCCTCGCGGGCTTGCACGCGTGCCAATAGCGCCGCCATCCTCTCGTTCTGAAGGAGGGCGGCCAAGGAAGACTGCCACTGCACCACCTCAGGGGCGCTGGAAGACTGGCAGCGTAACACAAACTGGCGGCCCCTCCCCGAGAGTACGCCGTGACGACATGATCACGATGATGCGGATACATGCCATCATATATCCGCCGCAGGGTGGTGCGTGCTGCAGCGAGTTTACGTGGCTGGCACTCCTTGCCGAAGATATGGCAGCGACTGGATGTGTAGGCACCCCACACAACACAGAAAACCACATTTTATCGTCCGCACCACACAGCACTCTGCAGTGTACGAGGGTGTGGCGTAGGGAGAGATCGAGCGTCTTCAGCCAAATTTTCTCCATGCCACGGCAGCCAGCCAAGCATGGAGCGGGTCGAGGGTTCGGTCCAGAGGCAGAAGCATCGAACGCCGCGTGAACTACTTAGCTCCAGATTTTGCCACGCGTGCTATACCCCAGACTGCCAAAACTCGGGCCTAGGACCCGCACTCGACCCACGCTCAAACCTCTCCTATGCAAGACATCTGAAACCTTACCAAGCACCCGCGCAATGATCTGTAGCTTCGCTAGAGCCCCGCCTACTTCCTGGAATTCTCGGTGAGATGGCTGGGGGAGGTCGATGAGAGCTCGCTTGGCCGGGGCAACCGCATACCAATGTCCAATGCCAATCCCACCAGCCCTCTGGGCGTAGGTGGTCTAGAGCAGATCCTCTTCCACCCCTCCCTCTTCCCCCTTGGGGAGGGGTTTACCCCTCCCCCTACCCCCTCCCCTGGACCTGGACGGGGGGGGCCGCGGGTAGTTAGAGCGTCCCAGATGGCCCAAGACGGCTCCAAGAGCGCCTCAGAGAACCCAAGATGAGCTCCAAGATGGCTCAAGATAGCGCAAGATCGCTCGAGATGGCTCCTAAGATGGTTCCAAGAAGCCCAAAGACGGCCCCAAGATAACTCCAAGTGGCCAAACAGCTCCCCAAGGAGGCCCCGAAGAGGCCAAAATCGTCCCAAAACCTAAGGAAAATCAATGATTTTTGCTTTCTCGCCTTTTCGCTTCCGATGGCCATCCGAGGCCTGGAGATGGTTCCAAGATGGCCCAAGAGGGCCCCAAGAGAGCCCCAAAAGAGCCCCAAGACGGCCCCAAGAGCGCCCAAGAGCACTCCAAGAGCGTTCCAAGAGGGGTCCAAGAGGCGATTTTAGGGGCTTCCGAGGGGGGGCGCTAATTGAACCCCCCCTCTTGTTTGATCGATCTCCTCCAAGATGGCCCCAAGAAGCGCCCAGGAAGCCCCAAGAGGTCCCAAGATGGCCCCAAAATGGCCCCAAGAGGCCCCCAAGAGGCCCCCCGGAGGCCCCCAAGAGACCCCCAAGAGGCCCCAAGAGCCCCCCCAGATGCACCCAAGATGCTCCAAGAGGCCTCGGCGAGAATGCCTAATCATTGATTCTACACAGGTTTTAGCCACATGGAGGCCTCTTGGGGGGGGGCACGGATTAAGATGACTCCAAGAGCGTCTGGGAGAGCCCAAAATGACCTCCAAGATGGCTCAAGATATCCCAAGATGTCTCATAATGGCTTCCTCTGTGTGCTGCCCACTTCTCTGATCGAGGCAATTCCTCTGGGCATCGTTTCTGGATGGGCTGGTGGGGATTCGCGAAGCGACAACAATTCGCTTCTCATCATCAAGAAACTGATTGTTAACGTCCCGCTGTCGGTGAGGAACGTGTAATGCGCGGGCGAAGAGTGGTCGAGCTTCTCGTGAAGCAGCGCTCCGCGCCGAAGGCCAGCGTCCGATGGTTATGCGAAACTTGATGTTCAGGGCTGGCATTGCAAACATTGGCGGCCGTCATGCTGTGCCCGTACCTGGGCCCCCCCAAATACTCCTGGACAATGGGCGGGGAGAGCCATCGACTGATGTTCCGCAGCCTGGGAGGTGTGAGGGAGGGTGTCAAGAACGGTGCCGTTGGCCCTCGCAACACGCTCGTCGACACCCCCGCCTGAGAGAATACTGGAGTACGAAGCCCTCGAAAGTTCTCTGGTAGGGGCGGCGCTTCGCGGATGCGTCCACGCGCGCGTCCAAACCACGAAGATCGATCGACCCCCAAGGAACCTTAGCCCCCGCAACATCGAACGGGTTTGGATTCGGATCACTAGCAGCCGTGGGCCAGGAGCTCTCAGGGTAATCCAATGCAAGATCGTCGTATAGGGCTCCTGTCATCACTATCCAGAGCATCCTAATGCCAGGGAATGTGCTCATCACCCAGAGCAGTGAGGAGGAGTGAGGGGGGGAACGACGATGAGGAGGACTGTGGGAGAGGAGGAGCGACGAGGAATAGGAGACGGAAGGGCAGGGCGCCTCCTGGCCCTCCGCGATGGAGGAGAAGGACGGCGCCCTGGACACCATGGACTTGCCCGAGGCCGAGGAGCAGCCCGACTCCGACGCCGCGGACGAGGCCGTGAACCTGCGGCGGGGCACCGCGCACGGGGATCTTGCGGGGGCGGCAGGCGACCACTACCACATCGGGGACACACCCCGGCTGATGTCCTGCGCAAGTCGTCGGAACACCGAAGCCATCTTACCCCGTCGGTCGAACGAAGCAGGCAGACACGTGACGCAGGAAGGCGTTGAGAGTAGATTGGGTTCCGTCCGCCCCCATTGGGAGGACGGAACAGGTGATGCCACTCGATCATCGAAGCAGGAGGGCGCTTCAAAAAGGTTGGCATGTTGGACTCCGAAGAATACATACTTTCAGTGACCGATGGACATAGCTGGAGGAGGCGGAGGAGGAGGAGGCGGAGGAGGAGGAGGAGGAGGAGGGGGTGAGGAGGAGGAGGGGGTGAGGAGGAGGAGGAGGAGGAGGCGTGGCGTCGCAAAACGTCGGAGTGGCGGTCGGAGTGGCGTCGCAAAACGCCAAACCGACCATGACAACCACCAGATGGTTCCTGCAGAGGTCGGTGGGTCCTCGCCCGGGGGCCCCCCTCCCGCAAAAAAATCACTTCTTGCGGTTGTGGTCCGTGTTGTCTGGAGATCAAGATTTGTTCCCAACCATCCTGTGGTGTTGGGTCCTCGTTTTGAAGAGACGTCGCCCCGCGTTCCTTCCTCCTCCTTCCTCCTCCTCCCCTTCCTCCCCCCTCCTCCCCCTCCCACACCTGTTTTTCTTGGGAGGGGGGGCGATGCTTTACAGACCCTCCGCAACCGCGACGATCGGCACGTCGATTCGGCACGCCAGCTCGGCATCCGATCCAGATCGAATCGCGGAATCGGATCGGATCGGAAACGGATCGGGTCGCCGGCGAGCCGTCACGAAATCGAATGACAATCGGATCGCCGCAATATGGCTCGGGCTGACCCCATCCGGCACCGAATAATTGGTTCGAGTCGAATCGAATCGGAATCGCGGCTCCAAGGAGCGAGCCAAATCCCATCGCATCGGTCCTGCTTCGTGCGTCATTTCGGTTCGTCATATCGGTGTCACAACCGGGTTCCACTGTGCATTCTTCTCGGGGGTGGGTTCTGAAGAAATGGTCGATCTCTGCGACCCAAACGAACACACGTCAGGAAGCCACTGCTGGGAAGCCTTCCCAAGAACGATTCGAGGATAAGCCCGATGAGGGGCCGCCGAACCAGATTGGGTCCGAGTGAGCCAGGGACTGAGCTGGATTTCGGCTACTTCGGGCCGTGACGGCCACGGCGATGGTTTCTCACACCGCGTGGGTAGTTCAAGCTTGAACGATCGGCGGGTTGTCGATATCCCAATGTCGGTTTGGTCGAAAGGGGGAATAACAAAGGGGGAGGGGGGGGGGAATCCCGATGCCAACCAGGCTGGGATGGTGCGGATTCACATTTCGGATGGACGATGGGGTACAATCGCATGTAAACTGCAATACGGAAGAGGGGGGTCGAGAATCCCGGGGGGGGTAGAGTCTGTTCTCCTGTTAGAGAGGAGAACGTATGCGATGCAACCTATGCAATATCGGGGAGACGTAAGACTCGGGTACGGGGGACGCGGGTTGGCCTGACGGGGTCCGTCAGAAAAATGACGAGACGCAATCTGAAATTTGACGCGAGCTCCCACTGCAAACATCCCACGAAAACTGGACCGTCAAAATCCAGGACGCGCTCGTCAAAAAACGTCGGCAAACCCGAGTTCCGGCTTACCCGAGTCTTACGTTCCCCCGACAATGCAGCATATGCGGTGCAATGTATGCGACGCGGCGACGGCAACGGGCGGCGACGGGCGGCGCAGGCGACATCGGGCGGTGGGATGGCGGCGACGGGCGGCGATGGCGGCGACGGGCGGGGATGGCGGAGACGGGCGGCGTCGGCGACGGGCGGCGCGGCGGCGATTCTGCGGCGAAGGTCCCGAGATGGTTAGCCAAAGTAGGAACCCGCAGTGCTGCTTGGGGAAATGAATGTCGAAGCTTCTCGTGCGACCTCCAACAAACATTGCGATGTTCACACATTTAATCTCTCCATGTCTTAGAGTTGAATCGAATCCCACCAGCCCTTTGGGCGTGAGTGGTTTAGAGAGCCCGCTCTGTTCTCAACCCTCCTTCCCCTTCGGGGAGGGGTTTACCCCTCCCCCTACCCCCTCCCCCTGGGCCTGGAGAGGTCCTTTCGCGGGTGGTCAAGGGGGGTCCGTTTCGACTCCTGGGAGGGCTAAAAAACGACACCCCTCACAAGGATTCTGGCCCCGACGGGGGGGACCAGAAAAAATGCTCTCCTCTCCTTTGAAGCCAAAATCATTGATTTTACTACGGTGTTGGCCCCATTTGGCCTCTTGAGGGGGCAGCGCTCATTACAGCTCCCCTCTTCCTTCAAGGCAAAATCATTGATTTTACGAAGGGTTTGGGCTCATTTTGCCCTTCTGAGGGGGCAGCGCTCATTGAAGCTCCCCTCTTCTTTGATCCATCCCCTCCACGATGGCCCCAAGAAGCGCCCAGGAGGCACCAAAAGGCCCCAAGATGGCCCCAAGAGGCCCCCAGGAGGCCCCCAAGAGGCCTCCAAGAGGCCCCCAAGATGCCCCAAGAGGCCCCCAAGAGGCCCCAAGAGGCTCCCCCGAGGCACCCAAGACGCTCCTGGAAGCCCCTGGGGCCGCCAAGAGGCCCCCAAGACGCCCCAAACGGCCTCCAAGAGGCTCCCAAGAGGCCCGAAGAGGCTCCCCCAAGGCACCCAAGACGCTCCTAGAAGCCCCTGGGGCCGCCAAGAGGCCCCCAAGACGCCCCAAAAGGGGACGAGGTGCCCGAACGCCTCACGCCACGAGGAGCCCGAACGACTCACACCAGGACGAGGGGCCCGAACGACTCACACCACGAAGAGCCCGAACGACTCACACCAGAAGGAGGGGCCCGAACGACTCACACCAGGACGAGGCGCCCGAACGACTCACACCACGAGGAGCCCGAACGACTCACACCACGACGAGGGCCCCGAACGACTCACACCACGAGGAGCCCGAACGAGTCACACCAGGAGGAGGGGCCCGAACGACTCACACCAGGACGAGGGGCCCGAACAACTCACACCACGAGAAGCCCGAACGACTCACACCAGGACGAAGAGCCCGAACGACTCACACCACGAAGAGCCCGAACGACTCACACCAGGAAGAAGGGCCCGAACGACTCACACCAGGACGAGAAACCCCAAACGACTCAAACCACGAGGAGCGCTTTCTCTCCCTCCTCCTCCGCCTCGTCCTTCTCCCGCTCCCACCACAAGGAGGATGTACAAGGAGGCGGGAGGAAGGAGGAACGGGGGAGATATGCGGGGGCAGGCGGAAACACGCCTGAAAAACACGACTGTCGGCATGCTTCGCAAGAGTTGCTGTTTTGAGATGGGCTGGTGGGGATACGCGAAGCGTAAAGCGTTTTTGTTCCAACAATGTTACCCTTTGGGCTCGGCGACTCTGCGTACGTCATCTTCCCATATCGTGAAAAGCCCCGGTCTCGATCGATATGGCCGGTGCCATGAGGATTGGTCCTGATCGATCCACCACTCGTGGTCCCTCCAGTCGGTTGCTCTTTTGGCCCATCTTTCATTCTCCATCCTTGCAAGTGCGCCTGCCCAGTTCCATGTTGCGGACAGGTGGGCCTTCGCCCAGCAACGGACTCCGGCGTTCCTGGCTTCTTTATCAGCAGTGATCGTTGCACGTCTGTTCTAGGAGATGCGGTCCTCGCGAGGCTTTCGGCGCGGGCCAACCATCGCTCGAAGCATCCGCTTCTGCGTGTACCTCAGCTTCCTCATCTGCGCTACGTGCCCGGGACTGTGCGCACCATAATGCCAATCTCGATACTGTGGGGTCGAGCAGCAACAACGAACGAAGTGAACAGTATTTCGCCTAAGCAGCTCTTAAGCGGTTAGCGAACTCAGCGCGTGTGCTCCCATTCACTGGCCCAGGACTCTGAAGCCGTTGGCGCAGCTACATTGAGGAAACCTGCGCTGGCCTGCTTTCAATACTTTGCACTCTTGAGCGTCCATGCCTACACATTGTTGGCGGCGCGCACAAGGGGGTGTGGGGGGGAAGGCTTCTTAGAAGGAGCCTGCTTCTCAGAAGGCGCCGGCCTTACATCTATAGATAAGGCCCGCGCCTTCTTAGAAGCAGGGGTGCTTCTAAGAAGCCCTCCCCCCTCCTCCCACCCCCTCTGCGCGTGGCTGAATTCCTGCAGTCAGCCCGTCCAGATTCCGCCCAGATGTCGTCCAGACGTCGACCAGATCCGACGAAGGCTGACCCTGACCGAGGCCAGCACGCCGCCGGCATGCCTGCAGGCAGCCCCGAGGACGCGGACGCACGAGGCGGAGATGCGCAGGGTTCGGTGGAAACCCGTGGGAGCCTCCCATACCATCTTGTCGGCTCCTGCGACTCGACGCCTGAACCGACGCTAGTCGACGCTAATCGACGCCTGAATCGACGCCCCTCAACGCAAACCGATGCTCCATCGACGCCAAGCCGACACCCGTCGACTCTACATCGACACCGAGAGTCGACGCTCAGTCGGCGCCAAGCCGACGCGAAATCGACGCGGACTCCACGCGGAACCGACGAAGGATTGCAATCCTTCGTCGGAGGGTTTTTTGCAATCCTTCGGGTTTTTTTGCAATCCTTCGTCGAAGGGTTTTTTTGCAATCCTTCGGTTTTTTGCAATCCTTCGAATCGACGCGGAATCGACGCGGCATCGACGCCAAATCGATGCCAAATCGATGCTCCTCGACGCTGGCCGACTGCGGGGGCCCATGGGAGGCCGCGCCGCCGCTCCGCGGGCGGAGGCGCGGCCGGCGGAGGCGGCCACGCACGGTGGCATCGCTCGGACGTCCCCTCCCTGCTCCTGCTCCGTTTCGCGCGTGGATGCTTCGCCAGATGATCAAGGATGCTCCTCCTCCTCCTCCTCCTCCTCCTCCTCCTCCTCCTCCTCCTGCTCCTCCTCCTCCTCCTCCTGCTGCTCCTCCTCCTCCTCCTCCTCCTCCTCCTCCTCCTCCTCCTCTCCATTCCCTGTGTGTGGTTTTAGGCTTCGTGCGTGTTTTTTTCCGCCAAAGGATCAAGGATGCTCCCCGATGGTCCTCGCCGAAGGACACGTGCACACGTCCGAGCGATGCCAAGCGCACGGGCCGACGTGGGAGGAGGCACGGGGCACGCTCGGAGAGCCGCGCACCTGCTCACCGTGCGGGTGGGCTGCGCGGCACGCTCGTGCCGTGCCGACTTCGGTCGGCGGTGCGCACCAGGGGGTTGGAGCCAGGGGGGAGAGGCTTCTTAGCAGCACCTCTGCTTCTTCAGGGGGCAAACAAACCTACCTCGCTTTTGACCACCCTCGCTTCCAAGAGATACCAAACGATGCCAAATTGCAGCCTGTACTGGTCAGGCCGCTTGACGAGGAGGCGCGTGGTATGGCTTGGTTTTGCCTGGAAGCGAAAGCGGGGTAGGTAATTCACGCTCTGCTTCTGAGAAAGCCCCGGCCTTACGTCTACAGAGAAGGCCCGCGCCTTCTGAGAAGCAGGGGTGCTTCCAAGAAGCCCTCCCCCCTCCCCCTGCCCCCCTCTGCGCGTGGCCGATTCGGTGCTGGCTTCGGACTCCGCGGGAATCGTTCAGCATGGAAAGATCGGCCGTTCACGCGCCGTCCAACATCGATCGATTCTGGGTCGCCGGCGGCGGTCAACGTTGAACGCCGGCGGCGGGGTCTCCGCCAGTCGAGACGACGCGAACCTACCATGGGCCTACCAAGAAATTTCTCGGAACATATCAGGCCGCTGCCTTAAAGCGAGACGGTCTCAGCCAGACAAGTTCAACGCAAGAGCACTCCGTGCAGACCACAAAATTGATGTTCAACATATCTTCGGTGGGCCTACCTATCGGCAGGTCAGGACGCTTCGCCACTTCTTGAGAAATCCGAACATTGCCCCCCTGAGCCGGCGGCGGTGTCGCGATCGAACCGAAGGGGAGCCCCTTCCCCTTGACCCCTCCCCCGTCGGGGGGGGGGGGGTCAGATGCGCGTCCCCCCTGTGGGTCCTCTGGGGGGCGGGGGAGTCCCGACGGGGGTGGGGGAGGGGGGGCGTCTTCCGCCTCCTCCTCGTGCGAGCACCTCCTCCTGCTTCGTCGCGGCCGGCGCGCCCTCCGCGGGGTCGGCGGCGCCGGCCGCCGGGCCTCCCCCCAGTCCGCGCGCCCTCCCCCCCAGACCCCCGACGTCATGATTTTTTCATGACGCGCCCCCTAGAGGTCCAGACCCTTTCCCTATGACCGGTTTTTCGTCCTGAGTCGTTTTTTGACGCGCCCGAGGCCCGGTGAGGGCCCCCGGAGGCCGAAAATGGCGAAAAACCTCCCGTCGTGATTTTTTCATTACTCGAGGGGGTCTGGGCCCCCCCCCCCGAAGCCGGCGGCGGGCGCCTCTTCCGCAGCCGCCCGCCGTCGCAGTACACCGACGACGCCGTGGAGGACTCCGTCGTCCACGACCTCTCTCGGCCGGGGCCGCGCCGCGCCGCGCCGGCGGGCGGAGGGCCGCCAGGGGCCGAGGGAGGGCCTCGGTCCTGGGCCCCCCGCGGCTCGTCGAGGCGCGGGCCTCGCTCCTCGCTCCGCCGTCCTGAGGAGGAGGAGGAGGAGGAGGGGGAGGAGGAGGAGGAGGAGGAGGAGGAGGAGGGGAGGAGGAGGAGGAGGAGGAGGGAGGAGGGAGGGGGGAGGGAGGGAGGGAAGGGAGGGAGGGAGGGAGGGAGGGAGGGAGGGAGGGAGGGAGGGAGGGAGGGAGGAGGAGGAGGAGGAGGAGGAGGAGGAGGAGGAGGAGGAGGAGGAGGAGGAGGAGGAGCGATCCTTGATCCCGGGGCCTCGGTCCTCGAGCCTATAGGGCCTCGAGCCTGGAGCTCCGAGCCTCGAGGGCCGAGAGGTCCAGGGATATCGAGCATCTCCAGGGAGGGGAGGCCCGGGGCTCGGGGGCTCGAGGGCTCGAGAGCGGAGAGCGAGGCTCGAGGGCTCGAGGGCTCGAGGGCTCGAGGGCTCGAGGGCTCGAGGGCCCGAGGCTCGAGGGCCCGAGGCTCGAGGGCTCGAGGATCGAGAGCTCGAGGATCGAGGGCTCGAGGATCGAGGGCTCGAGGATCGAGGACGGAGGATCGAGGATCGAGGATCGAGGGCCGCGGGCCGAGCATCGAGGCACGAAGGGGGCGAGGGCCGAGGTGGCCGGGCATCGGGGGCCGAGCTCTTCGTGGAGCCTGGCTCGAGGAGGCCAGGCAGCTCGCAAGCCGTGGCCTTTTGGAAATCTTTGGAGGGGCCCCAGGACACACACAAACAAATACACACAAATAAACAGATTCCCCACATTTCCCCATGTCTTCTGGGGATTTGTTTCCCCCCCCACTTCCCATGTCTTCCCACATTTTCCTGGGGATCGACGATTACTTGTGTCTGTGTTTTTTCCCTCCTGAATCTTGTCCTGCATGGCTCCAGGGCGCCTCGAGAGACCTCCACACTCCGAGATCCGAGCATCGGGTGCTGCGGCACGCGCGGCACGTGCACATGCATACGCGCGTGCCCGTCTGCAGCACATCCTGCGTCCGAAGGGCCAGGTGTGAAGAATCGAGCTCCGAGGCCCGAGGCTCCTGAGTTCGATGCTCGAGGATCGAGGTTCGAGAGTCGAGCACCGAGGGTCCGTGCTCTGGGATTGATGACACCAGAAGCTCTCAAACTGCGATCGCGCCGTGTGCTGTCTGGCTCCAGGGCGTGTCGAGACGTCCAGATGTGAGTCTCGGTGGCTACTGAAGGGGTAGGAAAGACATGCACTCATGCTCATCTGTCTACAGCACGCAGAGCCCGCGACGGCACGACCGAGCTTCGAGGATCGAGATTCGAGGATCGAAGACCGAGGTTCGAAGATTGAGGCTTCAGGGTCAGGAATCGAGGGCCGCGGCTCCAGGATCGCAGAAACTGTACACGAATCCTGAGATTCCCGATCGTTTTCCACCTCCTCTGGACGTTCGTCTTCCCACTCCCCATGTGTTCGAACATTTTTCTTGGGGGTCAGCGATCATTCGTGTCTGTGTTGTTTCCCCTCCTGGTTCTAGGATCGAAGCTGCAGGACCAGGCCTCGAGGATCGTGGGGGATCGAGGCTCGAGGGTCGACGGAAGATGTGTTCAACGCTCTGGTCCCCGTTCGACCTCCGGAGGCCTCCGGGGGGCCTGGGGAAGAGCAGAAGAGGCGAGGAGGGGATAGATAGGAAGGCAGCAACTATACACCAACACCGATCCTGGCCAGGATCACCCTGGGCCCAGGATCGGTGTATACGCCCTCCTGCCTTGCGCAAGAAGGCATATACACCGATCCTGGGCCCAGGGTGATCCTGGGCCAGGATCGGTGTTGGTGTATAGTTGGTGCCCTCCGAAGAAGGGCTGTGCTGGACTGTGCTACTTAGGTGAATGCTCCGAGGGAGCACAAGATGGTGAACCAAAAAGGGACCGCGAACCCTTTGGGAGGGAATCTGAGTTTGGAGGGCCCACACGGGGCATTTTCGGCAGATGCATCGAACCAAATCACCCATAATTATTCTCCCTAATGCAAAGACGGGGACTTCAGTGAGGCTACGTCTTCGTGTTATTAAGGTTCGCGGGTCATTTATCCTCGATGACAAGAAGCACGAGTCCTCAGGCCATGCGAATTTGGACTCACAATGGAGATCCTGATGGATGCAGCTGCTCCGTCAGCTGCTCGCAAGGTGCCAGAGGGGATAGAAGGATGGGAAAAGGGTGTGTGTGTGTGTGTGTGTGTGTGTGTGTGGAGGAGGCGGCGGGTGTGGTGGGGGGCGGGATGGGGCGAGGCTGAGCGGAGAGGAGCTGTATGACGAATCCAAGATGAGGATAACATCGGGTGAGTATGAATCGAGAATCTCTGAGATACGGCGGTTCTGGAGGATGTCTCAAGCGACGCGGCCTTCTCAGAGCGTTCCGGAATACCTTGATAGCATTCCAGAACGCTCTGGAACGGATTTCTCCTTGTCCTAGCCCCGTCAATGATGCGGAGGAGGCGGGTAAGGTGGGGGGCGGGATGGGACGAGGGCGGAGCTAAGACGAAGCCAGGACGAAGATAAAATCGGGTGATGATAAATCGAGAATCTCTCAGATCTGGCGGCTCTGGAAGACGCCTCGAGCGCCGCGACCTTTTCAGAGCATTCCGGAACGCTCTGAGAGCGTTCTGGAACGCTCTGAAGTGGATTTCTCCTCGTCCTAGCCCCGTCCGTGGTGTGGAGGAGGCGGGTGAGGTGGGGGGCGGGGTGGGACGAGAGCAGAGCGGAGGTGGGACATCGGTCGGGTCGGGCATGTCCTCCTACAGGTGGATTTTGACGAAAATAAAGACGAGTCAAGAAATATTCAAACATTGCACCCAAGACATGTCCCCAAACTATTTCGTTGACAACTCTCGAGTACTCCTCCTGTAGAGGGACACGCCCGACTTACGACAACGGGGAGGAGGAGGAGGCACGGCACGGCAGCATGGGGCCCGCAAGTCGAACCCGCGGAGCTCCTGGCGAGCCCCCGGCGCTGGGGCGGCGGCTGAGCGCGCCGCCCGTCGAGGCCCGACGCGCACTCGGGCAACGAACGCCCGCAGCCCACCGACGACGGTCGGGCAGGCGCCGTAGGTAGAGCGGAAGAACGAGCCGTCCCCGCCTTCGGCAGAGGGGCTGGCCGCAACCGCGACGGCCTGCTGGGAATTCGAGTGCAAACATGGTCAGTGGGAGGAGGAGGAGGAGGAGGAGGAGGAGGAGGAGGAGGAGGAGGAGGAGGAGGGGGAGGAGGAGGAGGAGGGGGAGGAGGGGGAGGAGGAGGAGGAGGAGACCCAGCGGAGCGGAGCGGCGCCACCAGGCGCCGAAGCACCCATATGCTCTCTCGTGGGCAGGGCGCGGGAGACCGCAGCCTCCGAGCGCAGACCGACGGGTACAGGACGAGGCGTTGACCTAAGGAACCCTAAATAAGGAACGAGGTCCCTATTTTCCATAGGTTGAACTTCGATTTCGTATCGGAAACCTAAGGAAAATCCAAGGCAAGCTGCGAAACAATTAAGGAACACGGAGCCCCTCCCCAACGAAAAGGGTTCCTTCTTCAGGGCCCCGACGGGTACAGAACAAGGAAAAAAACGCCACAGACACAAACTTTTGGCGCTCCGCGTGGATTCCTTGGATCCGCGCGGCCCCCCCCCCGCCCGGCGGCGCCTCCGGCGCCGCCCCCGGCGCGCTCCGCGCTCCAAGGAGGGGGGTCCGGTGGCGCAGAGCCAAGAGATCCGCGCGGAGCGCCAACAGTTCATGTTTCTGGCGTGCTTCCTTCTTCGAGGGTATTCTCAGCCTGTGGATGCCACGTCCTTTGAGCAGGGACCGACCGTCCCGGCATTCCTAGTCATACCACGAAATGTTCTTAGAACCCCAAAATGTTCTAAGAGCAAAAACAATGTTCTTAGAACATAAACCCGATGTGTTAAAACAAGACAGACTCCGCCAGAAATGTTCTAAGAACATCTCGTGGGAACCACAAAAGGTTCTCAGAACATTGTTTGGTGGGGCTATAGGCGAGCCGGGACGCTTCGCCACTGCTCGAGTCCTGGAGCCCGCAGCGTGCCTGTGGCGCACGGCGCCCTCCGAGGCTGCCTGCTGGGGCGCAAGGCTCCCTCCTCCTCCTCCTCCTCCTCCTCCTCCTCCTCCTCCTCCTCTTCCGCACGGGGGGGGCCTGCCGGGGCGCCCTTCGCGAGCCTGCCGCGCACGCTCGTGGTCGGGGCCCGGCGCGCCGGCGGCTCCGGCCTGTGGGCGCCGACGGCCTCTGGCTGCCGTGGGACTCGTCATCCCCTGTCCTTCCAGAGAGCTATTTTTTAGCACGGGAGACCTAAAAAGCTAAAGCACTAAACGAAACAGCCTAAAACCAAGACATAGAATAGCTCTGGGATAGGTTTTTAAGTCGCGTGCTATTTTTTAGCCCTCCTGGAAGGTCAGGGCGTGGGTTAACGCGGGGGTCATAAAGGGGGGGGTCAGAAATGGTCCCCTTTCGTGCCCCTTTCGGGCCCCTCCGGAGCCGGAGCCCCAGGGGGCTCGTTCAGGTACCGTTCGGGTACCTTGTCGGGCCATTCTCGCCAGGCCCCCCATGCATGACGACCCCCCCCATTACGCAACGCCCAAGTCCATTCCCCGTGCGTTGTTTCGGCTCCTGGGTGAATTTGTGCTTTCCCCTCGATGGTCCTCGCCGAGAGAAAACGAGCACACGTCCGAGCGATGCCCAGGAGGAGGGCCGCTGGGAGCAGGAGGGAGCCCCCCGTGGGGTCTCGACTCCGCGGCGGACGTGAGCGGGTCGTGCGCGAGATGGCGTGGCGACCTCACGAGGCGGCTTTGTCGGGCCGCCAGCGCGGCACCGTGCAGTGGAAACGAGGGCGCCTGCGCGCGGCCTCACGACGGAAGCTCGCGCGCGAATGTCGACGCAGTCGACGCCGAATTGTTCCGCCGCCCAGCTGCGCTCAGCTGCTCGCAGAGCGCCACGGGAAGCCCCACGAGAGGGCACGAGGAACACCGGGCCCATTTCGAAACCCAAGCTCACCGCGCCTTACCGCCCGAGCAGGTCGGCTCTGGGCGTCCCCGACCTCGAGGCCCCGCCGAGCTCGTGCGCCGGTCAGAGCGCCTCCCGCTAGACGCACAGGGCGGGCACCCGACCGCACGCGCCGCCCCCCAGTCGGCTAGGCGTAAGAGCGACCCTGGGTAAGAGTGACCTTTGGTGCGCAGCTTTTGGGGGCGCGAGGGAGCCAAACCCAAGGGCGCGGGCCGCTCAAATCGCATCGCGCTCGGCGATCGGGGGGAGCCCGATGAGCCCGCACCAAAGGTCACTCCGGCGAAAGGTCACTCTTACGTGTAGAGTCGGGGCGTTGACCTAAGGAACCCTAAATAAGGAACGAGGCCCCTTTCTCCCATAAGTTGCACTTCGGTTTCCCGTGGGAGACGTTAGGAAAACGGAAGGCAAACCGCAGAACAATCAAGGAACACCGAGCCCCTCCCCAACGAAAAGGGTTCCTTCTTCAGGGCCCCGACTGTAGTCGACCCCGGGCGGCCCCGCGGTGGGCCCGCTCGTTCCGGCCCGTGGGGTGCAGAAAGGCGCCGACGGCGGCAGCCAAACATCCCGACGAGACCTGCCGAGCCGACGGCGAGGCCCAGACCGGCCGGGGACCCGACGGGCCGAGGGCAGCCCGGAGGGCTGCGGCGGCGCAGCAGCCAAGCGATCCGAGCCGACCGAGCACAACCGATTGTGAAGCGGCCTAGCCGACCGAACCGCGGGCACACTTTGGGTGCAGAAAGAAGATGCACCTTGTCTTCACAGCGGCAGCCGAGGCCTCTCGACGAGGATACATTCACGGTGGTGAGAGAAGGGCACATCGCCGCAGTCGGCACTCAGGAGCAATGCAACGTGGTAAGACGCTCTGGCACACGCACGCTGCGATGCCTCGAGGTCGCAGAGACACGAGCTGTGCGAAGTCCTCCGAATCGACCGCCCTCTGACTGGAACTCACAGAGAATTCGCCGAATTCATGTCATGTGCCAACTGCGCAGCACCATCAACCAAGCCTTGCGATCCCGACGGATGTTTTTGCTGGTGATGCAGTGACGATGCCGTGATGGGCGTATCTTCCTGCCTGTCCGCTACACCAGAGCACGCTCCTACACAAACAGCATCCGCTGAGGCCCCGACATTCCTGAATCCGAGACGGCGTCGCACTGATCGAGGTCATCGTCGTCGTCGTCCGCGTCGAGTGACCTGGGGCAGCAATCGCGCGCCGACGCTTCCCCAGTCTTCCTCAAACGCCTTCTCCGCCTCCTCTCCACCACCTCCTCCTACTCCTTATCCTCTGCCTCCTGCCCTTCCCCTAATTAACCCCTGCCCTCCCCCTCCTCTGCTGAAGGACTCGCCTCCTCTAATGGCGACGTCGGGACGGAGAAAATCTGACTCCAGATTGCGACGCATCGCCAGTGCCTCGCCGATGCGGCGTGATCGACCGACCCCATCTGCTCTGGTCCAGCATCTAGGTGGGAGTCCTGGATCCACCTATGCCTCATCTTCCTCCAGCTCCTCTTACTCCACCGCCTCACCTCAACCCCCACCACATCCTCTCCACCACCTCCTCCTGCTTCCTGCCCTTTGCCCCCTTTCCTTGGCCCACTCCCTGCTCTCCCGATCCCCCACTGGAATTATGTTGCTACCATCTTACTTAAAGACCACATCCCAGAAATAATTTCGAGCACCCGGACAAGTGTCGAAACAGTGTCGGGCGAGTGTCTCCCAGGGCCCGACATGTGAAACACCTAAGAGTTTCGGTACTTTTTGGTGCTCGATATTCTTTCTGGTGATCAAGGCTAAATTAGGTTGGAACACCATACTATAACCATTGCGCGCTTCGCGCGCACTCAAGTTCTAGCTAGCTTGAAGGATAGCGGAGAGCGCGTAGCGGAGGGACGAAGGGAGGTCAGCAGTGGCTTAGCCACGATTGCGTCCTTCGTCCGTCGTCCTTCGTCAGTCGTCTGTCGCCGCCGCCACCCTCGTCGCCGCCGTCTGCGTCGTCGTCAGTCGTCCGAGGCGCTCTTTCGTGGCCAAGGCTGGCTTCGTCTCGAAGTTCTTGTCCAAACGCACCCCTGGGCATCGCATTTTTGTTTTGCATCTTGGGCTGACTGGGAAGCTTTTTGGGCGTTTCGGGGGGGGGGTCTTGCGAGTTACGTGGGGCTTCCTGTTGGGCTTCCGGGAGCCCAGGGCTGGAAATGCCTGTTCGGCCCCCGCCTGGAACGCTGGGCTCTTGAGGGCATATTTCCGGCCTCCTGGATGCTGCTTGGGGCCGCTTGGGGGCCGCTTGGGGGCCTCTTGGGGTCTCTTGGGGGCCTGCTTCCTGAAGTCGTCATGGGACCTTCTTGGCATGTCTTCGGGGGCCTTTTAGAAACATTTTTGAAACCTTTTGGGTGCCGTCTTGGGGCCTCTTTTGGGCTTCTTGGGGGCCTCTTGGGGCCTCTTGGCTCTTGGGGCCACTTGGGGGCCTCTTGGGGGCTTCCTGGGGGCCTCTTGGGGCCTCGTGGGGGCATCTTGGGGCGGAGAGCTTGCTTTTTCAGTTCGCATTCCCTCTCTTGGGCCCCTCTTGGGGCCTTCTTGGGGCCCTCTTGCGCCGTCTTGGGCGGCTCTGGGGCCGTCTCGGGGCTCTCTTGGGCCGTCTTGGGGCCATCTTGGGGGCCTCTTGGGCCGTCTTGGAGCGAGCTTGGGAGCCTCTTGGGCGGTGTTTTAGCGCCAGAAACACGAAACAGCGAGCATGCAACAAAGACACGTTAAAAAAACAATGTGCATCCACGGCTTTGCCCTCTCGGGGCGGCCTCGGGCGGCATCTGAAAGGCCTCTTGGGGCGTCTTGGGGGCCTCTGGGGCAGTTTGACACGCATCGTGCGTCGCCAGAAATCCTGGAGGGCGTCTTGGGGTTGTCTCGAGACCGTCTGGGGCCGCCGGGATCGCTGTCTGAGGGCTCCCCGGGGCGACTTTGGGCCTCCCTGAGGCGGGCCCGGGGCCCCTGCATACACACACACACATACACACCACACACACGACACACACCACACACACGCACGCACGCACGCACGCACGCGCGCACGCACGCACGCACGCACGCACGCACGCACGCGCACGCGCGCGCATGCACACATGCACACATGCACACATGCACACATGCACACATGCACACATGCACACATGTACACATGCACACATGCACACATGCACACATTCACACATGCAACACATGCAACACATGCAACACATGCAACACATGCAACACACACATACACACATACACACATACACACATACACACATACACACATACACACATACACATATACACACGCATACACACATGTTTTGGTCTGCGGATCGAGAGCGAGCCTCTTCCGGTTAAGAGCGCACACACACATATTCACTAATCAACACATACACACATACCCACAAACACATACACACATACACACATACACACACACGCACACACATACACACACACACACCACACACGCACACACGCACACACGCACACACGCACGCACACACGCACACACGCACACGCGCACACGCACACACGCACACACGCACTCAGACATACACACCACATTCACGACACACACCACACACACACACGCACGCACGCACGCACGCACGCGCGCACGCACGCACGCACGCACGCACGCACGCACACAACCACTCACATACACACACACGCACACACGCACGCGCGCATACGCACACACGCACACACGCACACACGCACACACGCACACACGCACACAAGCACGCACGCACGCACGAACGCACACACACAAACGCACACACACACACACACTCACGCACGCACG